AAGTCAGCAATTCAAGACGCCCAGCCACTCAGCAAGATAAAGAGGAAGCTTTCTACTCCAGTAAAGAGCTACCATTTTGGAAACCCACAAGGTCAGTTCTACCCTGCCCTATAGGGGTTGCCATTTGTCAAAATTGTCTGAATAGCAGGAGGTGAGTTTAACTAATGTGTGAAAAAATGATCTATTATAATGAAAGGAAGGCAAATAACAACCGTAAGATAACATTTTACACCATTTGCAGGGCAGCAAATTGTTTAATGTGGCTCTTCTAACCATAGTCTCTGTAGCTCCCATCAAACAATCTTTATGTGATGAGTCTGGGTAGGACAAGGTGTAGGAAGATGATGATAGGAATCAGTTGTGAATACTTGTTAACAGGTTTCACCGTGTTTATCATCCTGCTGTCGGTAAAATAAACCCTCTCAGAAACAGGACGGGGGAATCTCCCTACCAGCAAGAGCCAGGAGTGGTGCATGTCTTCTGGATCACAAGATCCCTGCACAGCGAATCTCCTTGATCCAGAAAACAGCTATGGCATCGGAGGAGTGGTAGAGGAACAGCAGCATCAGGAACATGAGGCACAGTGGTGAACTTCCCAGCCAATGGAGCAAGTAAAGCTGAGTAGTTGAGCAGGAGGCTGGTTTGTGGAGTGGGGTGCCTCTGGCTACTTAATTGGGAGAGCTGGGTTTGCTGACCCATGGAGCTTGAGTTGAATACCTTTGGGCTGAGGCTTACAGTGGAGTGGCATGCCCCTTAGGTACTTAGTAGCAGCCCTAAAGGAACTTTGTAACATGTCTGACTAACTACTACATCCTAAAAAATTCCTTAAATCATGAATGTTGTCTGTGAGTTCTGTGTGGCCATTGCTATCAATTATAGAACGTAGCAATAAAAGTACAGGGTGTGTGAGACACATGACACCATTATATTAGCAAATACTAAAAGATTAAGATTATCTAATCACTGAGTCGGAATCGACTGGATAGCATGTTTGTTTCTGGGTGGGTAGGTGGGTGGTGTGAAGCAGGAATTCTTGGGTGAGGGGAACAGTTAATGTGCTCACCTGCTTATTGAATGTCTGGAAGTTCAAGTTCTCCCAGAAGCACCTTGGGAAAAAATCCTGTTGATCTACTTCGAAATTCCATGGAACACAGTTCAACACTGACATTCATGGGATTGCCATAAGGTAGAATTGAGTTAATGGCAACTGCTTAGTTTAATGTCAAACAATTGAGAGGAAACCAGTACTCTTGTGGTGAAAATGTAAAACGGTACAGTCTTTGAAAAGAGTAGGACACGAATGTAAAGATATGTGCATAAGAATAAAAACTGGAACCAAGCTTAGGTAAATAAATTATGGTACATTTAAACAGTAGAATGCTATTAAGCATTAAAAATGATCATTTGGCAGGCAAATCATGTTTTGTCATGGTGGTAAATCACTTATCAACAGAAAATAAACATTTGCTCATATTTTGGGAATACATATATATATTTTTAAATGCCACAAACTTTGGTAAAGAAATCATACAATTTATTATCTTTGAACTGTATCACACAGAGAATTTGTATCACTTTGATCAATATTATAATTTTATGTTTATGATATAGCTTAGAATGCTTCAAAATGCTGCATCAGATTTTGACATTGGGTAAAAAATGGGTCTGGCCATGACGTTGGCTTTATTAGCAGAATTTTGACAGCTCCAAGTTGTCAATTCATGAGTGTCCTAGAGCATGGGGCCATGTGGCCCTCAAACTTTGCTCATAAAATACCTTTTAATAGCACAGGAAACTCTGTAAGTATTTAACCACCTCATCTCCCAAGAGTCTGGGAGGAGCACCAAACACCTCAAAATTTTAAAGTTTTCTACTTTAAATTCAAAAGATGCATTTCATTATGTAAATCTGCTGTACAGACCTCTTTGGAGTATTGAAAAGCAAGGATGTTGTTACTCGAGGACTAAGGTGTGCCTGACCCAAACTTTGGTATTTTCATTTGCTTCATCTGCATGTGAAAGGTGGACATTGAATAAGGAAGACCAAAGAAAAATCAATACATCTGAGTTGTGGTGCTGGAGAAGAATATTGAAAGTATGGACTGCTAAAAGGACAAACTGATCTGTCTTGAAGAAGCAAGGTCACAGTGCTCCTTAGTGGCAAGGATGGCAAGACTTTGTCTTACATATTTTGGACATGTTATCAGGAAAGACCAGTCCCTGGAGGATATCATGTTTGGTATAGTAGAGAAGCAGCAAAAAGAGGAAGGTCTCCAAGGAGATGGATTGGTACAGTGACTGCAACAATGAGCTCACACATAGGAATACTCGTGAGGATGGTGCAAGACGGAGCAGTGTTTTGTCCCATTGTATAGAATAGGGTCACTATGGATTGCAACAGACCTGAAGGCATCTAACAACATTTTACCTTAAAAAAAGTCATGCACATCTGGCAATGTACCCTATAATGTGTCTATTATGTTTTGGTTTTGGTGTGATAAAACACATTTTGTAAAATATTTGCTTTGCAAAGCATAAGGCAAGTGAACTTGTTAAATATTTATGCATTAAAATATAATGAAAATTTACATTTCAACTCGTTTTCACTTAAGATTTGACTATAATGAATTTTGATTGTTAATTGATACTCCACCACCTCCCACTTAACAAATTGAATAAATACCTGTAATTGTGCTTTCCGTAGCTGCTGAATGGTAATTTCAGCTTTTTGTTGCATCATATTTTTAATTCGTTGGTTGACTTGCTTTTCCTTCTTGAGTTCGTTACCATAAAATCTGGACCCCTAAAAATAAATAAATAAATAAATAAAACAAATAAATAAATAAAGCATAAGAAAAGATATCCAAGACGGACATTAGACCTCCATTCAAGTACTCCCTCAATGTAAGAATATTTTGTTCTATTAAACTGACATTCCATGATGATCACCTTCCTGACACAATCGCTGAAGACA